TGATGCAATGTGAAAGGATCGGAACCGGTATTAAAGCACACAGGTATTCTGTCTGGTATGAGGAATTCATTTGAAGTTAGAATAGCACTCCCATAAATAAGAGGACACTGCAGCAAATTCTTTTGGTTCTGTGGTTAATGTGAACTTAGGTCTGTTTTTACCAGCCCATTACTATCTGCGGTTTCTCTCACTTACAGCCAAGCAGAGCTAAACGAGTCTCATGTTCAGAGGTATTCAAACCAGTCGTTCACACCTTTTATCCATGTATATGTCTCTTTAAAACCAGTAGGAATTAGGCACCGGTGGCTATAGTTCTTTTTCTCTTATTGCTTCCACAATTCACATCAAAAACATACTTGAATTTATAAAAGAAAAATATTGGGACTAAAGAGCTACTGCTAATGAAGAAATAACTGTGTTGCTATATGGAAAGAATCTTACCAGTTCAGAATTGCAGTGGATTTAGTGAAATACAGCTTGCTCTCTGCTGGAGGAGAGAATATTGGAGGGTTATTAAAAATAGCCTCTTCCATATAAGGATGACTGTTCGTGCTTGCCAGGGTAGGAACAGCAGTCAGAACCACCTTAGGGATTAACAGAACCCTTCGTGTAACACTTTAATGTGTTATTTCCAGGTTTCATTTGGGAAGCTTGCCTGCTCTAATTAGTGATATTAATAGAGGCTGTCTGGCTTGTTTCTGTAGGAGCCTGCTGCAGTTTTAGTTATAGTAAAACTATTGTTTTGCTTTAGATTGTTGTGTGCACTTTGTGACTCAGGTACAGTTCTGAAAAATTAATCGTCACTGCCAACACTTCTTAGTCAGACTTTCAGTGCACAGTTCTTGGAGGCTTCCATTCATAAACAAGGATATGGGGCTGCAGAAATTTGTAGCGAGATTTGTACAAAGACATTACACAACTGTTGCAATTTCCCTGTAATTTCTTGTCACACTCCTATTTCCCTTGGAGTTTTATTGTATTGAGGTAAAATTTAGCCCCCTACCAGGAAGTAAATCCCATTGAATTCACTGTGAAAATGCAGTGTGTCATTCTTAATACTTTTTGCATAGCTTAGGCTGCAGCATCCCAAGAGACCCTGCATAGCTGTATTTGGAGCGAAGGAGACCGGAGCAGGCGGACGGATGGCGTGCCACTGCTGTGGCTTCCCCTGTCCCAGCCCATGCCTCCCGGGCATTAACTGTCCTGTGGGAGGCCGAGTCGGATGCCGGCTTCTATTAAGTGGAGCCAGACCTGTTGCTCAGTTTGCACTGTGGGCGTGTGGTGCTTGTGTGCAATATACTTCATTAGTATTGTAACCTACTTTGCAGACTCTAAGCTCTTACTCTAACCTAATAGAAACTTATTAATATTTATGTAGTAACTCAAATACTTTGGCTACCTAATGAGAAGGAAGGACTCCCTGGAGAAGAGCCTAATAGGCACAATAGAGGGCAAAAGAAGGAGGGGATGGCAGAGGATGAGGCGGCTGGATGGAGTCACTGAGGCAGTGGGTGTGAGCTTGGGTGGACTCCGGGGATGGTGGAGGACAGGGGGGCCTGGAGGAGTGTTGTCCATGGGGTTGCGATGGGTCGGATGCAGCTTCGCAACTAGCATAGCATAGCAGTAATTAAATAGTGAATTGTAAATAATAAATGCATAATAAATCAATAGTATGTATGTATGTATTTATTTACACCATTTATTTATATACTAAATAAATATTCATTTCTACTAAATAAATCACAAAAGTAAGGGTGTTTAGGTATTGTATTTTCCAATTTGTTGTTTACAAAACAATCAGCTTATTTGTTACCATATTCCTTCCAAGGTGCCTAAGGCAGCACGCATAATATTCCTCCTCTCCGTTTCATCCTCCTTGTGGCATATGCGGGAGTAAGAATTTGTGGCCCAAAGTTTCCTGGGGTGCCTTCTGGCCAAGTGGGGACCAGCACCCTCACCTCTCAGGTCCAGTCCAGCGCTCTCACTGGACTCCGCTGGTGTATGCCCATTGTGCTTTAGATTTTAGAGGACAGCAGACCTCTGGACCAGTCCAGATGTTTAACGGTGGGGGACATGCTGGCCCTCTGAGTGCACCTCTGTTCTCACAAGGTCAGAGTGTTTTCTGGGCCTTGCCTCAAATTGTGCTTTCTTTTGTGAGGTTTTTAAAACCTTTTAAAGTAGGTAACTTGGTGTTCTACCACAGAGCCAGAGCCCACTTCCCATTTTATTTTGTTCATTTGTTACATTTCTGCACCTTCCAGTAGCTGAAGGCCCCTGGTTCAGTCCCCGGTGTCTCCAGGTAGGGCCGGAAAGGACCCTTCCTGGATGGCCATGGCTGCCGGTTAGTGTTGACAGAACTGAGCTAGATGAACTGGCTCAGCTGGTTTTGTGTGGAGTGATGGGATCTTTGCAGAGTGCTCTTCCATATTCAGTCTTGTTCTGTTTATCCTTCCAGCAATTGCTGAGCAGCAGTTGGTCAGGAGGTCGTTCTGCTATTTTATAGAAGATAAATTGTGGGGTGGGGTAGAGGGAGCTTAAGCCAGGCAGCAAATCTGTGACATATTCCAGAAGTTGCTGCACACAGCATCTAAATAGGACTGTTCTTTGAAACGTTTATTTCACATGCAGTCTCATTTACTTAATGAAATTAAATTTCTTTAATTTCAGCCACCAGGCAACTGGTTTTGAGCCTGGAAGTATTTTCTTCCACAGAGACTCAGCATTACTTTGTGATGTAACTTTAAAATGTGAGATTCCTTCTCATAGTGGTGAAAATAATTTTTCTGTGGAGCAAATGATGCACCACAATTGGATTAAATTTTTGGAGATTTACTTATGATTACTATGATGGAGCTACTAATTGGCCATTTCTTTGTTAGGTGAAATGGTGTCCTTTGGCGTGTTTGTATGTGGGGGGGAAGCAAAGTATGGATCTGTCTGGCAGGCCGAGTGTGGCTTTACTTCCAGTTCTGTCATAGGTTTTTACCATGGCCTCTTGGTAGGTTTCCTTCTGAGCAAACTCGCAACAGGGTGTAGCGAAAGCATTTTTCTTCTGCCGCATTGTGCTTTCGAAATTGGTTGGTGAGTCCAGTGTGTAGTGAGTGTTCTTGCTGAGAGCAGCACTCCACAGAGCAAGATAATATCCAGTGCATGGACTTAAGTATCACCTCTGTAAGTTGCTTGTTGACAAAGTATGTTTGAATTAACAAGCAGTACATCTGAACCTCTGAGGGATGGCATTCAGTGCGCAATCCAAGTAATGACATGCACAACTGGGTAGACACAAGCTGGAGTGAAGGGAGTCCAGTGTTCCTCCTTAAGGTAGCTTCCTGGGCAGGGGAAGTGGTATTATTTCATAGTTAATCTTGTGGTTTTAAAGTAAAATTTGGCCGAAAATATTTCTACCAGGGTCAGCAAGGAGGAAGCCATGAGATCACACTACCCTCCTGTTTCAGGAAATCCTCCAGCGGTGGAACCAGGCAGTATTTTTTGCAAGAAGCTTTGTTTAAATGCTTGCAACACAAAAGAGGAAAACATGGTCAAATGAATATTTCCCAGGCTGAGTTTGAGACTCACTAAACTCAGAGTGGGAAAACAGACGTTTCTTCCCGTTTCAGTGGCCCAGCTTGTTCCAAGGATAGGATCCGAGTAAGGCCACTTTAGAGGTTATAGACTAACCTCTGTCTCTCATAGTCCGTGCTGTTCTGCTGTCGTTTGTTTTTTAGTTTTGAGAGGAGACACCTGTGGCACATCCTCTGCAGCAGCTTAATTTTTTAAACTGTTTCCGTCCAACAAAGAGGGCTGCTGTTCAAGAGAAATGAGGCAGAATTCGTTTAGGGTCAGTAGCTCACTGAACAGTTCTGGCATACAGATGGGGTGACAAGATGAAATATCAGATGTGTTTATTTTATTACATTATGATTATAATTATTATTTTATCTTTGGTGCTTTACACAGTTTCATAACCGAAAATAGATGGGTCCCTGGCTGCGCAGAGCTTACAGTCAGTGGGGGAGAGAACAGAAGGTCAGGAAGGCAAAGGCGGGGGCAGCTGGGAGGAAGAACTGAGTACCATTTATCTAGTGTTCATGCTCCACAATTTCCCTCATGAGCTTTTGTTGTTTGGGTGCTTTTGTTGAACCTGCGTAACAAATGGGTTTGACAAGACTTTTTTTTGCAGAATTGCATTACAAAAGTGCATAAAGCTTCAGCCGTGGAATATGGTAATATGCCAAATGGCTCCCCACCCCAAAAGAAAATCTTGTGTGAAATCATGCTATACACACGCACTTCTTAAACCAGGGTGTTTTTTGTGTCGGTTATATAAAATGTAACTTAAAATAATTGATTTAAAATGATACCAGAATTGAAATAGTAGTTAGATTCTGCACTCATATTTTCCTCCTTTTTAATTTCTCACGTATATTCATCATTCTGAAAGAAATCCCTCCCCTTTTCATTTTTCCAATTTTTGGGAACAAATCTCTTTTTTCCCCCTGGGCCTTCACATCTTCAACAGTTATTCTAGTCCATCTCAGGAGGTAGGAAATCCCCATTACTGTGTTCAGGTTGCTGAAGAAGACCACCTCCCATCTTCCTGGTTTTTCTGCTTTAAGTAGGAAATACCAGGGCCATCTGCAACAATATCTGAAGATTGCGCATGTGCAAGCTGTTGGTGTGTGTGTGAGTTGTTGGATTCCTTTTGCCTTGTGTTTCTCTCAGATTCCTCTCCCTGCAACCTTCCATTCCAAAATGCAAAATTCATTTGTAACGATTCTTACAGATTAAAAACTGGTCGCTGAACCTGATCTGAGAAGAGGGGAACTATATTTTGAAGGTGTTCGGCAACTGAATAACCTGACCTTATATTGAATGACTAATTATTTTTACTATCCCTATTAGATAGTGTAATAAAATGCCTATTTGCTCTATACACATCTTGTTTGTATTCTGTTCTGCAATGGTGTCTTTAATTTCCACTTTGTTTGCTTCTCTTCTAGATCTATCACGGAACAGACTCTCAGAGCTGCCTATCGAAGCTTGTCTCTTTGTTTCCCTTGAGAGCCTTAATTTGTACCAGAATTGCATTCGTTATATTCCAGAAACCATTTTGAATTTGCAGTCGTTAACTTTTCTGAATATCAGGTAATTATGACACAATATGTAGCATCCTACATTACGCAACTCTTGTCTCTTCATGTTGGGGAGAGTCACACCAAGCAAAAGCTCAAGACTCCAAGGTGATGCACCATTGGGAAAAGTGATTGTGGAAGAGTCAAATAATGCTTCACGTTTCTAGAATACAGTGGTCATTTTCAGGAGTTAAGCTCAAGTAAAAACATTGGCTGTGATTCAAAAAAGCGCTTCAAGTGTGCCAGGACCCCCAGATTTCCTGTTCTGACAGCAGTTCTTTGTACAAGATTACAGGCCTTTCTAGAGGATTGACTTTCTGGGCTTTTTCATGCTTGAAGGGAGGGGCCGCAGCTTTCAGGGGGGTGATGTAGTGGGCATGTGATAGAGTCAGAGTAGGTCCTTTTAAAAATACTGCTTTGTAATAAAGACTTCTTAGCATAATATAAGCTATTTATTGCATTTCTAAACCACCCCACAGACAAAGCTCTCTGGGTGGTTTTATTGAAAAATGAACTCTACTGGCTTAGTGGTAATGTACTGTATTTTCCTGATTTGAGCGTTTCGTGCTGCCCTGTATTTTGTTGAAGAAGTGCATTGAGATGTTTGTGTAGTTCAGCTAATAATAACAATGTAAAAATAAGTAATCGAGTTGGCTTTGGCACAGTTCTTTAGCCAGTTTCAGTTTGCTAACTTCCTTTGTTTTTTACAGCGAGTTTTTAAAAAAGGATGTGAATCAGAGGACAACTTCCTATTGTGCATTTCAAAACAGTTCTTACATGCTGCCAATTTACAGCAAGTAATCAACTGCCTGAAGAGAGGACTTTAGGTTCCTTTAATGAAAAATAATAAATTCCCCTCAACAGACTTGAGAATGTGCTGTTCTCCTGTGGAGAAGGGTAGTGTGGGGTGAGATCTTCCTTCTATTAACTCCAAAGCCAGGGCTGGAAGAGGGAGCCACACCCCACTCTTCAGCACCAAACCATGGTGACAGTGGGACAACCATCGTCACTGCTTACACAAGATGGTGGGTGGGCCAGAGGACAAAAGAAGCCTCAGAGTTTAAAGGGAAGTAGTCCTGGCAACCCAGAGGGCAAGGTGCAGTTGCTGCACTGCCATGGCTAGTCGCCAGAATAATCCCCAGGGACAGGTTGCGGGAAGGGAGATGTTTCACAGCACCCCAACAGGCTTGGTTCTCAGGCCTGGTGTAGTTGGCGCTAGAATCCTCACTGCTCCTGAACTTGCCCATTCCTGAAAAACACATGGCCTCATTTCTCCCTGTCAGTCTAGGCTGAGTAGCAAAGACTTGTGAGCTCTGGGTAAGGACAGGGCATCCCCCATGTATACAAAACCTCATGGTGGGTCTTCTTCTAGTGGTGCTATTGTAAAAAGATTTCGCGTTGGTCAGTCATTCTTAGAGAAGTTTTGGCGTTCCTCCATTGAGGAGCAGAACAGAAGTTCTTCCCCAAGAGGCAAGTAGCTGTTGTGGATACGATGCTGTGGCACCGTGGATTTCAGTTGCAATCGTTTCCTTGCATTCTGTGATTCAGTTGCATTTTCCTTGCCTGGGAAAACCAGGCCCTCTCAAATTCTCGGGGCATCACAGTCCCCTTTTCTGGAGAGGCTGCAAACTTGATAACTCGCTACACTTATTCACAATGGCATAAGGCTGGCCGGCATCTGAGAACTTCAGCGAATCCGTAACAGGACAGCCAGGTCGTTACCATTACAGCAGGGCTTCCTGGTCTGCTCTTGCTAGCAGATCATTTCTGGGCCCAATTCAAAGCGCTGGTGCTAATCTAAAAAGCCGCAAATCGCTTGGGGCAGCGCTACCTAAAGGACAGTCTCCTTCCATATACAAGATGCATTCGTATATCTGCCCGGGCCCTAAGTTCATTCTTGGAGGCCTTTCTGCAGGGGCTTCCTCTGAACGCAGGAGTTGCCTAAGCAGAGGACTGATTAAGTGGTCGCACCCAGATTATGAGCCCCTTCCCTGGAGAGGCTCCCTGGCCCCTCGTGGGCTTTTTGATGCCAGGTGGAGACTCTTTCATGTTCTTCCATGTAGTTACATGTTATGGTATTAAAAGGGTACGGTTTTGGCACAGCAAGCTTTTGCTTCTTTTAACAGTTGCATTTCAGGGAGGGGGAAGTGCTCTGAGGTGTCCAGGGTTTGTAATGAGATTACCCCTTTGTTCTAGAATTGGGTAATTCCCCTCACTGGAATCTACCAGCATGGTTCTGCTTTCAGAGTGAGTGGGAGGAAGGGCCCTTCTTCTGCCGAGAAGAGCGGGCCTCCATGGCAGTGGTTTTTCTAGCACTTGAAAAGCAAGCTGCATTCACGAGTGTTTGGTGGCAACCACTCAGAATCATCACGTGTAAACATCAGCCATGGATAGTGGACCTCATCATCTCTTGCCAGCTTGGTTATTATTTTGCCTTTCCTGTTGATATACCTGAATTTGAACACAAGTTTCTGGAGCAAACCATTCCATGTGTGCATGTGACATTTCTCTCGCACTAATATTTATTTATTTGTTTATACATGTATCTATAGGCTGCCTATAACTGCCGAGGCCTTCCTTATTAGGGGGTTTCCTGTACTAGCAATTTGCAGTTCACTGCTGGGCATTTTTTTTTAATATTTAGGGTCAAGTTAAATTAATGCTAGAAGGTTCAGTCGAAGTTAATTCTGATTTCCCTTTTGAATGCTTGCTGACTAGGGCTTCAAGTTGCCAACTTTAAGATGCACTTTAGTTTATGGAACATAGAGAGAGAAAAAACACAGACAGGTTTTAGGTAGTAGGGATCAGTCAGAAGATCATAACACAGCTATTAATGAGTTCTTGCTAATTTGCATACAATTATACAGATCATTTTCCATGTTACAGTACCTTTCTCTTAAATTTTATGTAATGAAAGAGGATATGTGTCTGCCAGCACCATAGGACTATGACCATAAAACCTAAACACCTGAAAAGTGGTGTGCTCTTTAAGGGAACCCTGTGGGTGAGAGCCTCAGCATTATGTGACTTTTAAGATGCATTAGTTAATTGCAATTTATTTAAATATGACCATATTTTGGAAGCTTGCAGTATCATCTTCATTCTCTAGGTGGCAGAAATCCCTAAGCTCCACCTGACTTTGCAAGCGACACAGTTGGAAACCAGTGAGGAGTGTTCTGGGAGACGGTTATAGGTCTGCCCCACCCACCCCCCGGGTTGGGGGAATGGAGCGCATAGGCTTCTGCCCTGGGCTCGTAAGGGTGCTGAATGAAGGGGAGAGGTCTCTCCAATGAAATGAGTGAGCCACAGTTAATGCATTATGTGAATACCAAAGGGGCGTGATTCATTCATTCATTCATTGAAGTCTTTGTATGCTGCTCCATATCTAGACAAATAGTGGAGCAACAAACAATAAAAAGGTGCAACTGATGGAAGAATAAAAATAATGCATTAAAAACAGGGTAACATTAAACCTCCCTTTGCTATTGGATGGTGTAGAAATGAAAAAAAAATGAAGTGGCATATAAATAGAAATAATTAACTGTGGCTGGTCAGAAGGTGTTGGAAACCTGTTATGGGAGCCTGCCTAACCTCCAGAGGCAGGGAGTTCCATAGAATATGAATGAAGACACTAATTAATGGTCAAGACCTAATGATGAAAACATTTAAGTAAATGCATAATGTGTACAGACCCATGTTTTGGTGCACATATATGTTATGTGATACACAAAACAGTGGTTTGGAAAACACAGATTCTCAGCTTAACAATACCAGGCAATGTGGCGTTACAACCTATACAAAATATGCAAAATTTCAGTAATAACAAGTGGTGGAACTTTTACTTTGAGTAAATATATACGGTGCACCACACACCAGCGTATTTAGGGACTTGCTTAATATGTGAGCTGAGCACAGTGCTGTGCAGGACACACAGGACTGGGTTCATGCAACTCCACAATCCGCTGTGGGTGAGAAGCCGCTCTGGGTTGGTGTGTCATGCACATTTGGTCTGCTTCCAACAGGTCGTTTGTTTGAGAGCAGCCACCCCAGTCTCCCTAGACAACCCCTGGCTTGTTTTTGGGGCCGTTGGGACCATGGACGGTGAGAAACAGCGGTTTATTTAGACGAGTCTCTGCCAGAGTCATACCTGGTCTTATTACAAGCTAGGCAGAAAGTGTCTGTATTCAACAATATTGAACAATTGTAGATTGTCTTAAACTGTACATAATCGCCCTACAATGTTATCACACACGCTACAAAATATTAACAAGAACTCAGGAATGTAAGTTTGTTTTTGTTCTTCAGACCGACAAACCCATTGTTTCATGTTCATTATCTCTTGTGGAGAGCAGCCAAAGTTGCCCCTCCCACTGCCATGCTGTATGCAACAAACAAAACATAACAGTAATGAAGTGGTAAATTACCTCACCAACCTGAGGCAAACAGTTATAAAAGTTACTTAGATTATGCACTTTTGCTTTGAAGCATCAAAGATACAAAAGTGCTTAAGTAAAATTACTTCCTAGGGATTATGCTGTTTCTGGGAAATAACAATTCTTATTTTCCTGAAATAGCAAAGTGACAAACCATGCCATTAAAGTTCTCACCTAGTTACAGTTCTACAGAACTTTCAGCATGTGATCATGAGAAATGATCTTACCTCAAAGTATTCAAGGTCAATTTTTACAACTGACCCGGAGAAACAAAAGGCAATATGAAGGAGGTAATCCATGGCTGTTCATGAAGAACTCCACCAGATAACATTATATAATGAAATCAAGATCAGCAACCATTGTAATTGCTTTGTATTTAAAAAGTCAGAGTAATCTTTTGGTTGTCAATATCACAGATAATCACTCCAGTGTAATAAGAACAGTTGAAAGGAAAAAAGGAATCTACTTGGTACTGAAGGACACTTGGTGATGGCCGAACATTTACAGGCAGGCTGGTCCAATTTATCATTCAGAAACATGGAAGATAGAATTGCAATTTATGGATTCACAATGTTTCCCTTTTAAGTATTCCTTCAGTCAGAGAAATGTGTTTCAAAGAAACTCATTGTATGTTTTCCAGTGAAAAAAATCTGGGTGCCTTTGGAGCATGACAACACTGTAGAAAGTATATAATCAGGGAGGTTTCTAATTTCCGGGCGCATATTCATTCATATCCCATAATCCTTAACTTCAAAGGTGTAGAAGTCTGTCCCACATGTAACTTGGGACAAGGACATGTAATTATATACAGAAAATAGCCTGAGTTGTAATTAGTAAATGATCTCAAGAAATAGTTTTTGTTGTCTCCCGGACTGGAGAACTTTTTAATTTTCAAGGCTTGTGGGCAACATAAACAACGTTAATACTTATAATGTCCTACAGTATTCTGAGGACATGATGTGAGGACCAAGTCAGTGTGACCCCATTGTCACCAAAATCAGGCATTCTATGGAATTTCACAAGTGGATTCTTCCTGCAGTCTGCTGTATCCTGGACCAAACGCCAATGTTTTTGTTTGATAATCTGGAAAAGATGGTTTAATTTCAGAGACCAGAGCCATCTGTTAGCCTTGGGCTTCATTCGAGAGTCAGAAAGGGTTTGTCTGCTGATCTCTGCAGCTGGACAAAGATGACATGCCCAGGAAAACCCCTTTCTGTTAGTTCCTCCACAAAAATAAAAAATCTGCATATGAATTATGTAGTCAAAGGCACATTTTCTTTTCAAATGCAAAAATTGGCTAGAGAGAAGATTAATTTTCAAGTGCCTAGAATAATTGCTAGAGAAATGCAAAATGGAATTCTTTTCAGTAGGCTTAATGAAACCATATATGCAAATTCTGCCCTCACTGATATTGGCAATGATGTCCAAAAACTGAATCATATTTACTTATTTATTAGCTTTATATCGTGCCTTTTTTCTTTACAACCCCAAGCAGCTTACATCATTCTCCTCCTCCTCCCAATCTTATCTAGTCTGTGACCAGCTCAAAGTCACCCAGTTGATTCCATGCCTGACTGGGGACTAGATCCCAGATTGCCTGAGCCCCAATCCCAGACTCTTAGCCACTACACCAAACTGGTTCTCATATGACAAGTTTTATGTCCACATGGATAGAATTGATCCAGGAAAGAAGCTTTTAGTTTTGGAAGTCTGGGTAAAAACAATAAAAATGTCATCAATATAATGTCCATAAAATTTAGAGTACTGCTTATGAAGATTGATGGAGGTGTTCAAAATAATGGAATGTACTGGTGCTGTTACAAAAACCTTTTGCAGTAATTGGGTGAGCAGCCTGCCCCTATTCACTCCTTTAATCTGTAAAAACAGCTGATTTTTCAACCAAAATGGATTTTTCAATATTATTCTAGGAAAGAATAACGTTGAGTAAATCCAGGTAAAATGGGTGGCAGAATTGTCTGAGGATGAGAATTCAGTGCATCTCCTGCAGTGCACCTGGGTCCCTGATGGGGCTTTGAAGTGGAAATGAATGCACATCCAGAGTGGTAAAACATCTGAAAGCATCCAGAGACCCCCAGCTTGTTCAGCAAAATGCCCTGTGGCCTCAATGTATGAATTTGTGTAAATAGCTTGTAAAAGAAAAAACTCTGAATATGGGGCTACTGGTCCTAGCGAAGGTCCAGGAACAGTCAGGGCTGAGAAGCCCCTTTTATGGATTTTTAGGAAGAAAGGGAAACAGTGATGTTATAGGGCAGTACTTGATGAAACATACTAACATTTGGTACTAACATTAATGCATATTAACATTTTTATAGCCCAAGGTTGGTGCCTCTGGAGGGAAAAACTGTCCAGAAAGGAAAGCTGCTGGCTGAGTAACTGCAAGTGTGTAGAAAAGGTGTAGAGCAGACCTGAGCATTAACTGCCCTTGGAAACGTGTTGTTTATTTTTTATTAATTGCTTTTTGTGATCCAAGGCTGCTGGCTATAGTGCAGTCTGATGATGCAGTTTTTGTTTGTTGATGCTCCGGAAAAGTGGTGGTTGAGTCTTTTTGGATTGGCATCTCTTTTAGCCATGTACTATAGCAAGAAAGGTGAAAGAAGTAAGACATTTGATGTATACACAGTGGCCTCTGCAGTTCTTTGAATCACAGCTTGTGGTAGATAAGGAGAGGAAAACCTGTGGCCCTCCACTGGTTTTGGCATGTTTCATGCGGCACATTGGTGTATTGGATGGAGATTGGCCAGACCTGAATTCTAGTCCTCACCCTATCCTGCATATCACTGGGGGACTTTGACCTAGTCATTGACTTTCAGCCTGGCCTACTTTACCAGGTTGTTGTGAGGTCAGAATGCAGAGGAGGATCAGGTATACTGCCATGGTCTCCTTGGAAGAAAGGCGGGATATAAATATAGCCAATAATAAAATAAATTTCTGTTGTGCTTCACCTTTGCTGCATAGGGCTGGGTTGTAGGTCAAAACTTCTGGAAGGCCACAACTTGCTCACTCTAAGTACAAGAGGATGAGCGGTCTAGCAAGGATAAAATCTGATGATCATAAAATAGTAGAGTTGGAAGGGGCCAAGAAGGCCATCGAGTCCAACCTCCTGCTGTTGCAGGTCACTAATTTGTACCATTCCACTCAGATGCTGGCCCAGTTCCACCCTGAATGTCTCTAGTGTGGGAGAGCCCATGACCTATCTAGGCAACTGGTTCCACTGTCGTATTACTCTGGCACTGAGGAAGCTTTTCCTGGTATCTGTGCTGAATCTGGGTTGTCACAACTTGAATTGATTATTCCACATCCTGCATTCCGTCCAGATATACATGAGAAGAGACCTTGACCTTCCTCTTCGACTTTTAAACCATTTGACTGAACATTGCAGAAATGGATAGCAGAGCCCAGTGGTTTCCCTTCAGAACCACTTGACAGGACTAGAAACCACACTTAGAATCATGGGATCCCAGTTGTCAACTTAATGTGCCAAAAACCGACATGGTGCTCTTATTTTCTACTATTACTATATTTTACTTTCCCCATGCCACTGATGAATTGGCGATGTTCCATCTCTGTTCTGACAATATGTTTTTTGTTTTTGTTTTGCATCTCTTCCTGAAAAGCCGGAATCAGCTCTCAACATTGCCAGTTCATTTATGCAGTCTCCCCTTGAAAGTTTTGATAGCAAGCAATAATAAGTTGGTCTCCCTACCAGAAGAAATTGGACAGCTCAGACAACTGATGGAGCTTGTAAGTATATAAGCATTTCACTCGTTCAAGATTAAACTCCCCAATTCAGTTGACCTCGTGTATTAAGATTTCATAGATGTAGCAGCCTCTTTTGTCCCACGTGATTAATGCTAGACAGATGTCTTTATTATTCAGGGATGGCGCAATGGTATATCAAATGGCCCCAAAGTTAAACAGTCTTGACACCGTAACTGTCTTGATAAAAGTTTAAGTTTATCCACAGTCCTGTGCCCCAGACCCCAGCTTTAGCACAGCAGGGAGGGCTGCAAGGGAGCGGGCCGCATGATAGTCCTGAACTCTGCTTTTAGAGTTGCGTGCGACATGCTGCTTTCTTCTACCCTCCTAAAAAGAAGTGGGATACTTGCCAGATGGTTTTAGCTGAGCTTTATGCACACTTGCTAAAGTGCTGAATATATTTAAACAATGAGTGTTGCCATACCAAGAAGAGGCACATGTGAATTTTGTTCATGCGTATTTCACCCTTTTTGGTATAGCCATTACAATCCTACCGGAGATCATTATATTGTTAAGAGATGAGCACTATCATGTGTTCCATTAAGGCAGCAGCTAAAACTAGTTGGGAGTGTCCTCCCTGCAGCGTAAGGTAAAGAATATGCCTTGACCCAAGACAAGACAAGAGCAGTGGAGGTACCAGGGCCAGGGCAACCAGACTTCAGCCGGATACACACTTAGGAGCAGGAGCTGGAGCAAGAAAGGTCATGCAGGATGCAAGCACAAGAGGCTGTGTCCCGCTGCAGCAACATGGCAAGGCAGGAGTCGAGACAGATGCAGGAAGCAGGGACAGGAACCGTCAGGCAAGGCGCAGGCACTGCAGCTACAGGAGGACCTGTTGCTGAGACAGTTCTGGAGGGAAGAGCTCGCTCTTAGATAGTTCTTCTCCCAGGAAAAAGCAGAGTGACAGCTCCAGTGGGGTTTGGGGCTGATCCTGCAAATACAGTGGTGGTGGCTGTTCTGGTTCTCGCCACCAGAGCAACCCAGATCCTGAAACGTGCATATAGCAGTTCATGGAGCCCCATCTAAAAACACTGCTTCCAAAAACGTGTCTTTTGCGTACGCTTGGCCCCGATGCCTCCTCAAGGGCCCATTTGGAAGCGAGCCCACTTCCTTTCCATATGTCTGTCCTCTGATTGACTGCCTTCCTCTCCTGACCTTGTGTTGTGGGGTCACCAATCATATCTGTGCCCCATGGCTATTCTTGGAGGCATTCTGCACACCTGGGAAAAGCTGCCTTGAGATAAACTCCTCCACTTCTTTCATCTCAGAGCCTGGAGCCCCATATTCCCCAGGCCCTTCGACCCCCTCCATTTTCTGATGCGGAGTCCAGATTGGTGTGACCCGCGAGCAAGCCTTAAGATCGACAGCCACCTTTATTCCCAATGTCCATAGAGTTCATCTCATCTATCAGTTGAAAAGATGAGGAGATGCATCTGTTTGGTTCCATCAGCCACTGGACTGAGATCGCTGTTGTCTCGCTGTTCAAAGCAACTTTGCGTCTCTTCTAGGGCTTGAAAAGATAACCGTGACAGCTGTCTGCAGCTTACTGTTTGCTCCGAGCTTATAGCTGGGGGAAAAGGAACAGCTAACAATTGCACCAAGCCTGCAGTTGCTTGTTATTTTTCATTTTAGTCTTCTGTGCTTTTTGTGTCAGTGCCTTGTTTTTCGATGCATTTTAAAGACTGCCTTGGAGAAGCTCCCTTGTTAATCAGCCTGGTTGCTGAGGTTATCAGATGGCATGCTTCCAGTGGTTCCACTTAGCCCAGGTGGAGTCCACCCAGGAAAGAGCTTGCCAGTGTGGGTGGCGCCTTTTCTGTGGCATGGCGGGCACCAGTACCATGCTGTTTTTAGTGCCTGCTGGAAACATCTTGATTCCAAGAAACCTGCCTTGATTGGCCAGCCATGGTTTTTAAGAGCAATATGACGTTTTATTCTTTTTACTGTTGATTGATCACTGCTCTGGAGCAATATATAATTGTTGCAAATGAAATAATTAAATAAGCTTCAAGGTTTAATATTGCAAAACCATCATGAGATTTTAATAAATGACAGTATTGAAAATCAATCAATCAATAAATACTATGCATTGAGAACAGTATTCCACATATGCATTTTTGGGCTATATGTACTGCTTCTTCTAAAGTATGCTGCTAGTAAAACATAGTATTTTGGGGCCTCCTATGTGCCGCTTTGAACATATATGTAAACATAATTAAATATCTATTAGCTCTGTAGTTCTCAGTCTGCTTAGGAGAAGATCTTGGCTCTGATCCAGGATCTAGTCACCTGGCTTGTTTTTCAAGTATTATTGTCACCTGCCTTGGAAATCGAACTTGGCTCACAGCTGATTTCTGAACCTCATGGCTTGGAACAACAGTTCCATCAGCAAACTAAAAATTGGTGGCAGAGCAGATTTCCCTTGCCCCCATGGCATCCACCTCCCAGTCTGCGCCACAGGGTTGGGCAAATCCCACAGATCCAGTTTGGGGGCATACTGGAGACCCAGTGGGTTCAAAGAATGAGGAAGCCCATTTGTGTATGTGAAAGTCTGGATGTTGTTGGATTTCAGCGATTATCTATGCTTCTAATACAGGGCATAATTTCCTGTGGCTGTACCATAATGTTATGTTTATAAATTAGAACACTGCTGCCAATCAGAATTCAGATTCATTTAACATATGGTTCATGTATTTGGTAGATTTTTGAGCTGCCCTTCAGCACAAGAGCATACAACTCAAAAGAAATCTTGTCGAGGGTGCCTTTTTGCCGGATTGCCCCACCCCCCAACACACACATAATCACCGTTTCTCTCAGTCCCTCACACCACTTCAACTGGAAATTAGTCCCTGCCCCATCTCTAATGCCCCCTAAGCTTCTGTGAGGCGTTTTGGGAGGCCGGAGCAGCTGCTGCAGGAGGAGGGATGGGAAAATCCACTTCTGCCAGCAGCTCCCTTGCTCACATCGAAAGCGGTATTTGATCCAGTAAGGGGAAGAAAGAAAGAGTGCAGAATTGCAGAAGCAGCAGGCTGTAGCTTGGCAGTAAAACTCAGTGGAGGACCAGAGAGTTTAGTAACTGCTGCAGTATATCCAAAGGACAGGTCCCATGGCTCTGGTCACTTTCCGCAATAAAGGCCTATTTGAAGCTGCTTCTGTGGTAAAGTGCTCATTTAAAAGGCTTTTTGGTGTTGTTTAATGAACAGACTGGTGCCACTCAAAGCAGTCGAAGACTTTGTCCCAAAGCAGGCTTTAGTAAAAATAGATCAAATTCATAAACAGAATCAGACCGTGGTCCTTTTCGTGCAGTATTGTCCATCTTGACTGGCAACAGAACCTCAGGGTCTCCACCTGTGGACTTTCCTGGCATGCCTATCTAAGATTGTTTTAACTGGAGGTTCTGGGGATTGTGGAAGAATATTGCATACCGCTGGGCTATTGCCGCTCCCCAAAGAGAAGGGAGCCTAGCTTCCTAGGACGGACGGACTTAACGTTAATGACTTTCCATTCACAAGGCAAGACTCAGAGCCAAAGAATTGCCTAAGACAGCACACAACAAGAAGCGAGTGAAAAGCCCTGAAGTTACTGTTCTCTTCTCTGTTTGCCAGGATGTAAGCTGTAATGAAATAGAGAGAATTCCATCACAGATTGGTCATTTGGAATCTCTGCGGGACCTGAACCTCAGAAGAAATCATTTGGTACATTTACCTGAAGGTAAGAAATGCAGGGGAGGAGCTATCATTTTCTGAACACTTGCTAACATCCTCTAGTTGATCTATATGGATGCCTTGTGGCTACCACAACTAGCTAACTGCAACACTTTTTCTGTGTGTGTCTCTGTGTGTCTATACTTCTGCAGAGCTTGCAGAGCTGCCTTTGATTCGGTTAGATTTCTCCTGCAATAAAATCACAACAATCCCGCTTTGTTACCGGAACTTCAGGCACTTGCAGACAATCACTCTAGACAATAACCCGCTGCAGTCACCCCCTGCCCAGGTAACGTATAATCAAACGTTCAGACCCTATTCTTAAGCAGAATACTTTTCTCTAAGCATGTCAAATAAATCTGCGGGAGGAGAGCTTTTAATTGTGACCTGTCTTTAAGATGCCTGATCTTTTCGGACGATTTGATCATGACTGAGAGGCTGCCCTAGATGTGCTTTTCGTGGGCAACCGCCTCAGTGCAGAATTTACTTTGCAGTGTGGAATACCCATTAAGATGACTGAGGCTGAATTTCAGCTCTGGAATCAGGAGGTTAAACTGCCAGCCGTTATTTGTTTTTGCTGCTGCCATGGCGCGCGGTGGTCAAGTGGGTAATGTGCATGCTGGATAGTGTGTAAAAAGCCACTGCTGCCAGACAGTTTCAGCAACAGCTGTTTCTGTGCATTACATGCTCTGTACCTGCGGTGTCTGGTGTGTCAAAAAGAAGTGCTGTTTTTGTAAAGATAGCTAGCAATCTAAGAATAATGGACAAAAATCTAGGGAAGAGGACTTGGAAATCTAGAAAAGCCGCAGAGAGCAGGGGTGTGAATGTGGCACTGAAGGCTCGGTCGCTTGCCAGCTCTGAGGGTCCTCTGTCGGAGTGGAGGTCTCTGGTCACATGGAAATGAAAGCATCAATGAAAGCAATAGTTGCCGCTCTACCAGAAGGCTTCTTAAAAGCACTAAGCAGGGCTTGACCCCAGAAATCGGAGGCAGGCCATCGATTGACAGCTTTCACGAGAACTCCAGCAATGGCTGGGCTCACACGGTACATTAAACCCCTCGGGAATTGTAGCTGTGTGCTAGTCTGCAACATTCATCTGTGCCCAAGCGATGGTCCAGCCCAGCAGGGTCTCGGTGCTGCCTCCCCCTCCCCCTCCCCCTCCCCCAGGCCTTGTGCAGGGTCCTGGCCGGCGAGCCATTGCGCTTGACTTCTGGCCGCAGCTGGACTTGCTAAAGACGGTGCCTCTGTGTTATCTGCGCTTGGGAACTACAGGCGATCGCCTTCCACACACACACGGCCATTAAAAAATAGCTGAAAAAGAGCCGTTGGCTGCTTTGCTGCCGTTTGGCACGGAAGCTTGTCAGCAGCAGAATCTTTGGGGTTCCTGTGGGGGTTTTGCATGCCCTCACTGCACAGAGGCTCCTGGAGGAGATCATTAGGAACAGCTGGCCCCTCTCAGCCACCCCGGAGTTAAAGTGTCAAGAAAACCTGCCCAGCAGCTGGGTTTATTATTTATTTATTTATTTGTTTAGGGAACTTCTATGCCGCTCCATTCGCCGAAGCCTCGGGGCGGCTCACAATCATAAATAAATAACATAATACAAAACAATATAATTTAACAGTATAAATTAAGTCGCCCTGGCCAAAGAATAAAATAAATAAATAATATTAACAATTAAAATAATGTTTGTATAAAAAGGTCTTCACCTGGCGCCGAAAAACAAATAACGACGGCGCCAGGCGGACCTCACTGGGGAGCGCATTCCATAGATTGGGCACCACTGCAGAGAATATGTTCACACAATGCAATCAGCTATGGAAGTTTAATAAATTGTCTGAACCCTACTCTGTAACCACGGGGTTATTTATTTATTTATGGACTTATTACCTGCTGAATAAGCCCAGAGGGCCTCTAAGGCGGACCTAAAGGACTGCCTGCTTCCATATTTGCCCTCCCGCCCCCTGAGATCGGCAGCGGAAGCCCTCCTCTGTGAAAGATATTAGGAGGCAAAGTATCCGGAGGAGGGCTTTCTCTGTGGTGGCGCCCCGCCTATGGAATGCGCTCCCCAGAGAGGTCCGCCTGGCACTGTCGTTATTTGTGTTTTGGTGCCAGGTTAAGACCTTTTTATTTCAGCAATATTTTAATAAGTTTTAATATTGTTTCTTACATGTTTTAACTGCAGCCAGTGTGAGTCTGTAATTTATTTGTGTTGTGTTTTATGTTATTTCATCTATGTAGGCCGTCCTGAGGCTTTCGCGATAGGACGGCATATAAATATTCTAAATAAATAAATAAGTGGATTGCCGTCTGTAAAACATACAATAGCAATAGGGTTGTTAGTAGGGCTAGCTTATAAACCACTGCAGCTAGCCATGGTTTGTTGTAGGGTTTAATAAACCCACCATTTTAATTGTGGTGTTCAAAGCCAGGTGAGAAAAACGAGCCATGGTCAAGTCAACAAACCACGACAATACCTAAGGCCGTCGGCAAGAGTGGCGGAAAGGCTTTCCATCTAGCCAGGGAGCTGGTGGGCCATTGCCTTCCCCAGGAAGTCCAGAACGCCGAGCAGCACTTGGGGCAGCTGGAAAGGCTCTCTTCCACACCCTGCTGTAGGGAGCCATTTCATGCTCACTAATATAACATTTTAAAATAATAAGAGTGCCCTCCAATGCAAATTTAGGCCTATAACTCCCAGCTGGCTGGGGCATACAGGGAACTGCAACCTTTAAACTTGCATAGAATTGTATCTTAAAGTGTATACTATTTAGGAGGAATGCTTTTATATTGTTCTTCCTCTGAAGAACCCAGAGCAACCTAACCATGGATCCCAGACAGAAAAATTCCTTTGGTCTGGTAATTTGGGTCATGTTTTTCTTTAGGGCAGGGCGGTTTTGTTCTTCGTTATTAACATACAAAGGTACAAATCCAACACATGCACACTTGTACAGCACAGCAGAAAGGAATAATTCCTGTATCACTCTCAAAAGTTCTCTGGTTGCCTCCCTTTTTTATTTCAGATATGCATAAAAGGAAAAGTCCACATATTTAAATATCTAACTATAGAAGCGTGCAAGGTGGTGCCGGATCTTCCAGATTATGACAGGCGGCCGATGGGGTTTGGTCCATGGTAAGTGCCTGTGGAGCTCAAATTATCTACATTTTAGGAGTGTGTTGTGGGATTTTTGGCCCTTTGGTCTCTCTCCCAAGCCATGGGTTGACTGTATGTGCGTGCGTGCATATTGTGGGGTGCGGGAGGACTCGCTACATCATGTTGCTTTGTGTTTTTAACCTTTTGTGCAGGATTGTTTAACTTTACTGGGCTAACCGCAGGTGAAAATGCTCGTCTCCTTTCCCGTTCTCAGGCTGTGTTGTTCTTGGCAGCTCTTCTTTGAGTTTAGCTCTGCAACATACATCTCTTGTGCAGTCACCCACAACACGAGTTGCTAAATTGAGAAGATGAGTGCTTGGAGTGCAGCTTGTGTTTATATTATACTTTGCCAAATTATGCAAAGTAATGAGGCAAGGCACAAAAAGAGGAGGGAATACATGTACAGAGGTCTGCAGAACATTGCCGAACCGCAGACACTTTGGGATTGAAGCACATGAAATACAAACTGGAGAGCTGTAAATGAAATGGCCAAACTGGTGTGGCTGTGCCTGGGCCTAGACGAAAAGCAGAACTTGATTCACGAGCCGGAAAGTTCCTTGTCTGGTGTACGGGGAGGGGCAGCCTTCAACACATGCAGTCATTGGCAGGGGCAAGGAAGTCTTTCATCTCGGTGAGCTAGGCTGGCCAGGGAGGGAGGTTACAACACAACAGCGAACAAGCTGAGCAGCTACTTCTGAAAAACTAGGAGTAGATTTCAGGAGGAGAGTTGGTTTTCTGAGTGGCATCTGCACCACTGTCTTCCAGTTCTGAGAATACTGAACATCTGATTAGTTTGTTGAAAGGGTGAGGCTATGGTTGCAGTGCTCTTTTCCAGTTCTCTCTGGTGCTGTTCAGTGCCTTTCTCTTCCTCATTGTATGCAAAGCTGCTACCGCATGGGATCTGTTACACCCCCCCCCCCCCGCACTGTCCTCATCCTCTAACTCAAAGCAGTAGGGAACTTGTGGAGCCCCAGCCTCCACCCCTTACCCTGAAAATACATCCCTTCCACATCTGTCCCAGTCAGCCAGCTCTGTGCCACTTCATTCTAACTGCAGGTAGATTAAAAGACGAAGAAAGAGGAGGTTTGCTTTGTAAATGGACTAAATGGGTAATATCAAAGTCCTCTTTTATGCTTCTTGTTTTGAAAATTTTATTTTATTTATTTATTTAAAATATTTCTGTGCCGCCCCCATCGCAACAAAGCCTCGGGGCGGCTCACAAAGAATACATAAATACATAAATAATAACAGTACAACAAATTAAAAAAAAATTGTTTAAAATCCCCCGGTGCATTCTCAGCTAAAAATTTAAAATCCTATTAATTAAATAATTTAACAATTAAAATAAGTTTTAAATAAAAAGGTCTTAGCCTGGCGCCAAAAAACAAATAACGACTTAAAAATAAAGCTTAAAAATAAGACTTAAAAAAGACTTTAAAATAAGGCTGTCTTGGCTCCCAGTCACCAGTAATAGTCAGGATATGTTGATGAGCTTGATAGGTCTTGCAAAGGAAGTGCGGGGGGGGGGGGGGGGGG